TTTTTAATTATTTTTGGAGTGGAGCCCAGATAACTGGTTTATCTTAATTGCCTGCTTGTCATAATGTTATTGTTGTTGATGAAATCGCCAGAAACGTTGGAATTAATAATATTTTTAAAGAAAATAATATACTTGCGCCCCATATATTAAAACCAGTAGAATATACATTTAGCAAATATGTATCTAGCACATATTTCTTTACCGAAATAAAAACAAAAATGCTGGTTATTGTCAGTGAAATAGCACCGTAGAAGGGATGAACAAACAAGAATAATACTATACAGGCGTTTAAATGAAAGAATGCTGATTTCTATCTCTCTCTGCTTAATCCTGCAAACAGTAGTATCAACTTTTGAAATGGGAAACTGAAAAAAGACTTATTTCGCCACTAGAAATCAAAACTTTGGTTGTCTGATAGGAAATAAATATAATTTTAGAGAAAAATGGCAACATGTAAATTGATGTTAAGCGCCCTCCCCCCCCCCCCCCCCGAAAAAAATAAAAATAAATGAGGAAAAAGCACATGAAATCAGATACTATAGAACAATTCAAGTACAATTTCCACTCGCCATGTAATACAATGGCATGATTTTTGTTTTTTGCTGTAGGGACATTCATGAATTCCATCAATGTTACTGTTGAAAGTTCGTATTGAATAGTGACATTTGGCATGTATTTATTCAAGAAATGTTTCGTATTCTTCTATTTCAGAGGACATTTGCAGCTCACTTTTTGAGATAAAAGTTCTGCCAATTCGTAATATTTATTGTTAATTTTACAATAATATTACATAATTATTTTGTTTAACTTCCAAACCTCCACAACGCGCAGTGAAAAAACAAAATCTACAAAATGCACTTCCAAATCTCCATTAAGGGTAAGGAGGCAATTCATTTGAGGGTTTGTATGAATCCAATGTAAAAGATACTCACGTTTAAAGAAATGTCGTTGGAGATGTTAACGAGTCTGTAGACTTAAAGTAGGCCATCACCAATGAACTCACATGTGTGGGAGGTCGTACTTTCAATTTACGTGTAATGTATCCGTTGTGCTGTGTACATGCCGATGCAATATCTACTCGTAAACAGACAGTACACTGGAATAGAGGGAAGGGCTTAAACATAATACCCGACCGTAATAAAAGCACCCTTTTCTCTTGTCAGGTCTGGAGTGCTAGTCACACAACCATGACCAAACAAACATCAAAATGCCACCAGAGGCCATGGGAACAAAGAACAAACTTTTGATTTTTTGTCTTCAAATTTCTTTTCAAAAACATATTTCTTTGCTGCCTCTCATTGTGCAAGCTTACACACGTTTACAGATTGACAAGTGTGAGAGTCAGAGAAACGAGAATGTTAGTACTGGTAGAAGTAATAGCAGTAGTAGTAGTAGTAGTAGAAGTAGTAGTAATAGTAGTAGTAGTAGTATTAGTAGTAGTAGTAGTAGTAGTAGTAGTGATGAAATTAGTAACAGTAGTAGTTATATGAGTAACAGGAGTGGTGGAAGTAGTAGTAGTAGTAGTAGCAGTAGTAGTGGACTACTACTTTTACTACTGCTGCTACTACTGATACTACTGCTACTACTTCTATTACTTCTACTACTACTACTACTACTATTACTTAACTATTAGTTCTACTACTACTACTACTACTACTTCTACAAATACTAATACTACCACTACTTCTAGTACTACTACTACTACTACTACTACTACTACTACTACTGCAACTACTGCTGTTAGGCCTACTTCTACTTATAACACTACTGGACCCAGTCGGGTCTAGGCCAGGGTTAAAGATAAAATAACAAATTATATACGCATATATTTATTTCAACATCGTTGTTCCGATTCCATGCATTAAGTCAATGTTATCCTAACCTGAACTTTATCAAGTGACAATCTTTCATCAATATTTTCTTCAGCAATATAAAGTTATTCGCCTATCCCTTGCTTTTAAGTAAGTAGGGCATATATCGATTTTTTTAGCATAAATCTAAATCTTTATATCTTCTTCCTATCAATCACAGACGCTGTGACGTGACTTAAAATTGAGTTTATCTCCTTAATAATACAGCATTTTACAGTTACAAACAAAATTATTTATAACCCTTAACAATTCGATTTTGTTAATTTTCTTTTTCGTAACTCAAGAATGCAGGGTTGACTGGTTTCATTCGGGCCTTTGTTGAATACTATTAGACGTGGGCTTTAATACGACACATTCTCGAGAAACATAATTCAGGACAAACACTTTACAAAATGAAGAAAATTGGTAAGGGGGTGAATAATTTAGTTGTTGACTGTGTATACTGTACATTAATTCGATGAGATGAACGTGAAAGAGTCAGCCTTTATTTATTTTATTTATTTATTTTTTGTTGTTGGGGGGGGGGGGGAGGGGGCATCTAGAATGCTAAGTAATAGGTAAAATACATGTATCCATGCTTTCGTTCGTGTACGGCTTAGTACCTGTCTGATTAAAGAAGGCATTGATCCATCTCTTTTTACGCTCTTGGATAGCCCCCCCCCCCCCCGCCAGCTATGGTGGATAACATGCTACTGTGTTAAAAAAAGCATGGAAAACGAATCGGTTCACAGCTTTTTCTCTGTTTAGTATCGTTAATCAATCGGTGCAGTCCGAGTGACAAAGCGCCATCTACGGGCGTGGCTGCTGTAATGATAGGTTCAGCAGAGGGAAATTATATTTAGTTGTTCTTGTTTTGTCCGCGTAATTCATCATTTTTAGCAAAGGCCACATTGTGATACTAAGTCACAGGAGGTGAAGAATGTAAGCTATTAGTAATAATAACAATAAGAAAGATAGATTTATTGAGCGCATAATAAAACCAAAGTTTTTCTATGCGCTTTACAAAGTAAAAAAAATAAGCAAGTACAAGTATATTGAAAATAGTTACAAGAACGAAATATAACACCTTAAAAGACTTGCAGCTAAGAGAATTCATAGCGAGCAAATTTAATACAGATAGCATGTACTTGACAAATCATAGAGTAACATATTCACTTATAATACATAGATTAATTGTAATGTCAAACAAAAATGTCACAAATAAAAAGAGAGTTATGAATGTTCAAAAATATTGAGATCACTGTAGCTTTGGTAATTTCAAGTTTGCAAATTGGATTGTGACGTAGTCACGGACAACCCTCCCGTGTGTCGTGTACACAAAAATCATTAATTTTATTGTTTTATTTGTTACGTGCCTTCTATTTTGGGATACTGCTCAAAATGTATTATAAATAATAAAGTTTTTATTCATTTTTCTCATAAAGAAAATTGTACATAATTGTTAACATTGTATACAAAGTAAACAAAACAAATCTTCACATAGGTCTAAATAAGTTTGCAAGTGAACTTTTACATTTCCGTACACGGTAACAAATAAAGTTACACATTTACAGCTGAAAAATATTCACATAAACAAAATTATATCTTCACATTTTAAACAATTCACTAAAAGAGTTTGTACTATTTTATCGACCAGTTTGCGTATAAATTTCAAATTATTGTTTTTCTTTTCCATAATATTTCTTTCCCACTTAAATTTCCTTTAGAGAGAAAAAAAAGGGTTATGTTAAAAAAAAGTAAGTAGGTATGGACGTAGATATTGCAACCGATCGCCCACTATCAATTCTTACAAATTGAATGTCGATGGTCACAGCTTTTGTTTTTTATATGTCGTAAGCCGAGTGTGACCCTAGGCTTATATTTGAATACTCGGATTAAAAAAACACAGATTTAGTTCGAAAGGTGACATTTGACTTTTAACATAATGGCCCGAATTCACAAAGGAGGTTTGTCAACAAACCGAGGTTTATGTACGTCATATGACGCGTTTTGACGCGTTTTTTTTACAAACCTGGTTTGTTAAAAACAAAAGGAGGTTTATCGAAACAAAAGGAGGCTTGTAGACAAACCTCCTTTGTGATCTCGAGCCAATGAATTTGAATGTCAACTTGATAAAATTGGCCGGACAAAACATATCATTTGATTTTTACGACTACTCCTTCTACTTTTGCTGCTGCTGTAACTGCTACTACTTCTTATACTACTACTACTGTTACAAGTACCAATCATAATAATACTTATACTAACAATCAATAAACTAAATGAAATACGGCACTCTACATGTGTAGGCAAAACAGTTTTAGCATTGAGGTACGGTTGTTGTAGAAAGGTCTCAAACAATTAAAAGTGATTTAAAACCGAGATTTAGCAATTGACTTCTGAATTCTCTAAATGTCATGTACAGGAGCCACCTGGTTCGAGTATTTAACAGCTTAATAAACTGAGCTATAGGCACATGCTTTATCTTTGTATATATACATTATAATTCCTCTCTATTCTAAATGAACGTTTTAAATAATGGTACTGCCTGAAATATAGCTATAATTAAATTGTACACTTTGCATTTAGAACAGTATATGTATTGTATTGTCACTGTTATCATGATAACTAATACTAACTTCTCATACACATCATTGAAACTGCTATGATTATTCGCCATTTCATAATACACATTCATATAGACAGCACAAAATAATGAAAGACCTGGGTAGTGGCAAATAACTTTCAGGTTGAGGCTGCCATATTTCAATGGACATGATGACGTTACCACTTACAGTTTCACTAACGATCTTTTTCTCTATCCTTTGCCACTAGCTTTACTGTCACATTACATGCAAAAAAAAGCCACTTCGGAATAATGTCTGCACATGGTCAAATAAAGGTCATTTGTACAAATCAATTTAATTTCATCGAGACGAATGCTAGAAACGTGTTCATGAAAGTTTCGTAATCATGATTAATTTATGTACAGAAATTTTTTTAATCATGATTACTTTATCTACAGAAAGTTCAATGCATGATACACACTCAGGGGAAAGTATATTTTTCAAGAGGGCACCTATATCACTTGGGTAGTGATTATTGTAAATGCAAAAGTGGGAATTCTCCGTGTATTGCAATATTTTTAGGTATAGTGGCATCATGTGTACAAGTGCCATCTCCGAACTAGTTCATTTAAAGAAAACATATTTCTATGTTTAGTCACTATCTTCTTGGGAAGAGTCATGCTCAAGACCCATAGACTGGACTATTCCCAAAAGCTTTACACTCCTGAGAACATCTATGAGTTGTCGCCTTGGCGCTCTCGTTCTCTCTTTCCATCGGGTTAACACAGTGAAGTACATTTCCTCTGCTTTGTTGCTTGTTGATCGGATGTTTTCTGTTTCCGTCATGGTGGATCCTAATTTGATGGCTATAGGATTGAACTTGTCTAATGGAAGCTTACTTGATATGTCCACAAGCTGGTTGTCTGTCAGGCAATCAGGGTCTCTTCAAACATAAGAATGATTAAGGAAAGTAAATATTTGTTTCAAATTGTATACCCAGTGTATCTAAGTCAGTCCAGATATTTCCCTTTTTCGAGGGACATGCATTATTATTATCCCATCCATCGCCAAGTACCAAATTACACCTGGGTAGAGAGTGTTGATGAATGTTACGCCAAAGGACGTTAGTGCCGTACTGGGATATCAACTTTCAACCCTTCATTTGACACTCCAGTGATTGGACTACTATATCACGACACCTCCACACACACAAACACACACACAAGCACACAGAGTACTGCAGTTGATTGTATTTTGAACAAGTGTACCTTATTTGTGAACGTGTGAAAGAACAAATTATTGGATCTCTTTAATTCCCAGTTGCAAAGGATCATATCATCGGCATAAATTACTCTATCAAATGACCCTATTTCTTTATTATTACATATTACACATGAACAAAAACAATATCAAAGTGCTTACTAACCTGTTGAGATCGACTAGTCTATGTTGGTACGGTAGCTCTTCTTGCTGTGCTATTGAACGTTGTACTGTTTCTGGAGTTGGGACATATGGGACCAATGCCCCAGGTGATTCTTCATGTCTATATCCTGGTAGAGGACATATGGGAGGAACCTCTCTAAGTGACAGGGATTGCAGTGGTGTAATAATCTGTTCAACCTCTCCAAGCAAAGGAGATGCCTCTGAAATCGAATAGGGAAAATGACTAACATATCGTTTTCCCATTTGCAAAGAAAAATAATATCTTCCTACTTACATATTTAGTTTATGAATAAGAAGATAACATCCTAAATCTCCCTATTCCCCTTTTCTTTGTTGCGAAGAAAGAACAAGAGACATACTAATTCGTTTGGTCTTGACATGCTTAGCCCTAAACTGTTGCAAAGTATATAATTTCAACCATTTTAATATAATTAGCTGTACCTACCAGAGCAAATATCACGTCAGAAGTATGGTGGAACTAGCAACTATTTATTTGGGAAAATGAGGACCAGATAGACGAACCATTCCTCTTCCATAGCCGATTCCCCGAAACAACACCAAAAAAAATATCACATGAATCCCGGTAGTAATATATTTTATAAGATGATAACGTGGATCCTAATCAAATGATTGGTTGAAAGCGTACACATGACCAGGCATTTATTTTGCCTAACGCGTAATCTGGATAATGACCGGTCATTAGTAAAATCATGTTATGAAACATCATTTCATATAACAAATAGAACATAATCTTATATAACAAATAATACACAGCATTTTGTTCGGGCATAAGTAAAATTACCCACACTCGGTACCTTCAAAACAGTCCAACCACCCTCGGCTACCGCCTCGGGCGTGTTAGACTGTTTCAAAGGTAGCTTATGTGGGTAATTTTACTAATGCCCTCACTGCTGTGTACGATTTGTATAGTAAAACTTTAGGAACAATATCCTAACATCACTAGACATCACTAGATACTAAGTTCGGCAATGAAAAGGTTACATCAATACACCCTTTCAAACAACGTATATTTTTATTAACTGGGAATCACCTTTGATGTCTGTCGAGAATGTCATTGTTATTTCACGTTCCTGTGTAATAATCAAAGTAACCAATGAACTTCGCTGGAGAAGGGTCATACACACTGAAAGCTTCGCATGCTGCATCAGCTCTTTGGCAGTAATAACCTGCCATTGTAAATAAATGTGAAATGCGTTATAACAGTAATATCGAATATACCACAGACCTATCATATTTACCCAAGTCCCGGACTACATACATACAAACATATATATATATATATATATATATATATATATATATATATATAAATATATATATAAATATATAAATAAATTATATACACTTAAAAAGAGGTATGCAATTCATTTTTGAGAGTTTTACAATCTGTCCTGTTATCATACTTGGCGTTAGTATCATTGAACTGTTTGTTTTTATCCTCAACAATGATGCCTCACTTCTAATGATACACCTAAATATATTGCCAAATCGAAAGAGAAATGGGGATGGCCCGTGTTTTGAATGATGAAGAAGAGGTCACGCATAAATGCCAATATTTTTGAGTCTGTGTCGCTGTTGTCATTGTTTTGTAGAGAGTAATTTGTACTGTTGTAGAGAGATTCCACTGAAAGCCCCCAAACCTACTTGAAATACGTATTCATATGATATGTATTACTAGCCAAAAATGTATGGATGCGTATAGTGCTTAGGGAAACACATTGACGTACATCAAACCATGATGTTACTCAAAAGCATAGGCTGTAATGTTTTATTGATATCTAATAGATATAAATCTTGAAAGTGTGTTTCATTCTATTGATTTGAATCTTCACTTTTTTCTATCACTAATCTAAATTATGTGGAAAGCCAATGAATAGGTCCAAACTAAAAATATGTACACTTAAAAGAATGTAAAATATTGTTAAACTAATGTAAAGTTCTACCTTATCGTTAATTGGTAGGTTACCTTGGTCTGTGTACTTGGTGATTCATCTGACTGGCAGCTAATAGACATGTCAATAGAACGCTCCTTCACGATCAGCTCTTCCTCCGGATAAATCTTCTTGTACTTCAACGATTCTTCTTCTGCAAGGATTTTCTTTTCGTAGTAAAAATCAAATTCAAATAGGGATATATGTTGCGATTTCCGGGAAAGCTTTTATTTCATGAGGAATATCAGGAATTTCTTTTAATAATCGAAATCAGACATAAGACTTAAGTTTGAAATAAATGTGTCTTTTGTGTACTGTCTTCATTCAATACATGTACATGTACATCATAAAATTGCAGTGTCGCAGAGATCATCGATATTTGGTTTCCTCAGTTCCAATTATGATTCATTTCCAGGACAATTCTTTGGGAGTTTTGGTTATGAAATAAAATTTAGTGATGAAAATAATGCGTCGCACTTAATACTTGAAATGATAAGACATGACCAGTAACGTTCTATGTATGAATAACAATAATAGAGAGCGGCGATGACAATAATCATCATGGTAATGATTATGCTATTGTTAATGAATTTCAAGATCAAGATTTCAAATTTATTCATGTTTCCAACAAAACATTACAAATAAATTATAAGCATAAACAAGTAAAAATCGTTTCTTTCACAGCGCACAGATATAACGATTTTTTTTACACCTCCTGGTACTGTGGCGACGAACATAAATGACAGTTTACCTCAGGAAGACCAGGAAGTTGATCGTAGAAACGCACACGCAGAGTTGGACAGTCCTGATTCACCGGAAGGGTCTCGGGTATGAAAGGTGTGCATAACATTCGCTTTGTAGCAGGGAACAGCCAGTTATAGACCATTGTTAGTATTCCCCAGGAAAAATGATCAAGTTGAAGCTCGATTCTGTCAGCATGTATCACATAACTATTGCTATCCAAAGGAATACGCCTGATCTCTCCTGTAGTGTGAGAAACATATCAAAGCATACATTGTTAAGAACACTCACACTCTGGAAAAATTACAATCATGATTACAAGGATGAAGTGGGATAACTTGTCTTTCTTCTCTCATTAAAAGCTTGCTTTCATTTTATTCTTTTTCATTATAAAGTGTTGCTGCGCCCCATCCGTTTATTGCTTTGAAGAGAAGGAATACATATACGTAGTGTTCTCAGAGAAATTGATATTATTTTACTTGAATAGAATTAGAAGGAAACACAACAACTACCAATAATTATAAAAAACATATAAAAGATATTGTACCTTCATCATTACTTCCAAAGTGTAGAACCATTCCCACAGATTCATTATCGTTAATAACCGCACAGTGAGGTATTGATAGGGTAAGAGGCTTCTTGAAACTTGATCCCGATGGAAAACATCTAAACCCGAAGCTCGCTGCAACTTCGTTGTCTTGAAGATTTATGCCATTTGGTAGGTCAGTGAAAACCTCGATGCTGATCTTCTCACTGTCTTCCAACGCTCCCGGAGGAATGGAAAGCTTTACATTGTGAGCAGGGATAGATAACTCCCCACCAAGATGATCCAAGTAGTCTGAAAGTTTATACAGAATAATATGTTTAAAGTAGTCCCTTCTCCACTTTAAAAAATGACAAATTAGAAAGAAATGTCCTTTTCAAACGGTTGTTTTGTCTGGTAAATGGTAAAATTGTTAGGAGTGAGAACGTTATCTAACCAAAGTTTAGATATCAAGTTTCCATTCATATGAGTTCCCCTAAAAGGACAGGAGTGCATGGACAACGCTATAAGTTATTAGATGTTTCCCTCAAAGATTGAGTGAAATATCGAGTCCCCAAAACTGTATAGTAAATATAATACCTGACACTCCGTACATCCGCCGAAAGAAGTAAACGCCATCCTGGGTTGTTGCAGGTGCCAGTTGGGGGCATAATTCATGCATTGTCAATTTGAGGTCTTTTTCTGCTTTCGGATCCATTCCCGTACTAGAAAATTTAAGATCTTCCAGGTGATGTAGCTGCAAGCTATCACTACTGTTGATGCTCTCCTCGTCAGACTGGTATTGATATTTCACATTGATAGTAAGATGTTGGATATTTGGATACGAGGCAGAGACCACATCCATAACAGATACAAGGTCCTTCAGAGTAAGCTGCCCAAAAGTAAGTTCTAGAACGCGTAGACTGTGGCAAATTGACCATGTTGACGAGCGCATGTGTGCCACCTCATTTGAATAATCCTCTACGTCGAAAGCTAAGTCTAGCTTGGTCAACGCTGGGCAGTTTTCAGCAACTTCATGAAGCACATGATATACGTTTCCTCTTCCCGCGCTGATTTTGAGGATCTCGAGGGTTTCATTTTTAGTTTCAACGGGTTGGGAAAAGGAGACGCCAATCAAAGACAATTCTTTTCCTCCGGGTTGTACTCGGTGCGCCTTCTTGAAACAGTAGCTCAAGTTGCTAACAGGAAAAGATTGCAGAGTGAGGCTTGTAGTGGTTTGATTTGTGACCTGAGTATTAAAAGTAAGATTTATTTTTAAACATTTAAATAATATTACAAGTGTCGGTGAAAATACCAGCAAACCGAATGAATATTGTTCTATCGAGAATTTAAATTTTTCAAATTTTAATTACAAATCTCTGTAAGGAAGCTAAACAATTATCGTCACATGTTAGTCTTTTTTCTTCTTAATCTATTTTCTTCTAGAATTAATAGAATCTAACAAGAGCTGGAATTGACTAGCTGGGGACGCATCAGGAGCGTGTCTGGCGGCGGTGGAGCTCCGTTGAGTTTGACTTTAACCAATTCGGAGCGTTAAACTCGGACATGGAAATGAACATCATTTATTTGTATCTTAATAAATACGGTTTTACCTAATAAACATTAATTAAAAATCAAATAATATTAAAGTAACATTAATTATCATGGTCTACAGCGTAACATACTGCCTCCGGTCAATCCTTTTAGAATAATTAACGATACTGCCACCCGTGTCTATTGTGTATGAAATCATTTATATACAGTATAACACATTATAATCATCATAATCTTTAAAATAGAAAAAATACTCACCTCAGCAAAGTCATCGACGACCTGTTATACGGACAAAATATTATGTGAAGCGTTAGTTATTGGTAACAATTTGTTTTAATTTATCAATCGGAAGTCATTAAATATTCCATAAATATCTTAATGCTCTGCTGAAGCTTTTCTAGAATAGGCCTAATAATTGACGGCACCACGATATCGTATATATCGTCCCTGTTTTCACGAAGTGACGGTAGAGCGCGCAACTAAAAGAAAGTTAGTTTTGAATAAATCGCTTTCAAAGTTTCAAACCATAATCTCAACCTCTTTAATGTATCAAAGGCAAATAAATTTTATATCCTTGGATAGAAAATATCTTAATGTTTAGTTCTATGTTTAAATATTTCCATAATTTCTTATATTTTTTGGGGAAATGAGCTGTAAACATTACCGTCACTTCGTGAAAACACGAAAGTCAAGGACGCGCTGTGATTTTGTTTTCACGAAGTGACGGTACGTAGCCGCGCGCGTAAAACATATGGGATTTTTCTCTCGTGGATGGAATTCCCGAAATGGACACTAAATACGGCAAAACGTTTTGTTTAATTGATGTACAGATAAAATAATTCAAACTGTGAGAAAGAGTACATTTTCCTCTTTCTGTAGCTGATTTTTCATTTCTCTGTGTGAACTGTTAACACAACCGTCATTTCGTGAAAACACAAATTGCATAGAACGCTTTGATTTTGTTTTCACGAAGTGACGGTACGTAGCCGCGCGCGTAAAACGTATGGGACTTTTCCCTTGTGGATGGAATTCTCGAAATGGACACTAAAAACGGCATTATGTTTTATTTAATTGATGTACAGATAAAATAATGCGAACTGAGAGATAGAGTACATTTTCCTCGTTTGGTAGCTATTTTTTTTTTATTGATAAGAATAAACTGAATGTCTCTGTATGAACTTTTAACTTAACCGTCATTTCGTGAAAACACAAATCACGCAGAACGCTTGTATTTTGTTTTCACGAAGTGACGGCTCGTAGCCGAGCGCGTATAAAACATATGGGATTTTTATTGTGTGAAGCAATTTCATGAGATAGACACTGAAATACGGCAAAATTACTTGTTTAATATATGTATGGATAAAATAAGAGCACCTTTTCTTCTTTGTATAATTATGATGTTAGATGTATGATGTCAGTTTTTGTTCACGAAGCTACGGCTCACAATAAATTAACTATCAATAGCACAGATGGATATTGGCACTAAGTGCTTTTAAAATGATTAATAAGCTATTCTCTTTAATCTTAGGCTAAAAATGGATATGTATTTAATATTATTTGAGGTTTAATTATCAGGTACATTGTATGTATAGGGACTAAAGATTGCACTAAAGTTATACTTTCCACTTAAGAACACGTTCAAGTAGTCTCCCCCCTCTCTCTCTCTCCCTCTCTCTCTCCCTCTTTACCCCCTCCATCTCCCCTTAATATCACACAAATTCTGCCATTTCTTGTTGAAATTCATGCGAGTGATATCAGGGCTTTTGCTACTCTATTACTATGAGAAATTTCTAAAATTTTAGAGAGGGGCCTAGCTAAATATATTTTTTCAGATAGGAAATAAAGCAAATATGTTAAGAAATATTTTTGAATGAAGGAAAAAGATTAAGTATTGATAATTGACCATAATCTGTAGTCAACTACTCAACTCTGCAATATAAACACAGAAAATGAATTTTGACTGAGCAGTTTTAATTCAAACATTTGGAACCAGAACAGCAAGTGGAAAATGGAGCATAAATTCAAAAATATTATATAATTCATACCAAACATATCATCATCAATTATCATCAATACTGTGTTGCATTTTAAAATGTACATTTAGGGTTTTGTGGAAAAGACTCATCAGTTATATACATCCACGGAATACGAAGGTTATTTCATTCATTATACAGTACTTGTAAATATGCTAAAATGTCTTTATCTAATTCTTTATTTACGACTTGGTTATCATGTTTATTCAGCAATCGTAGCGAGTAAATGCCACATGTGACATACAAAATGCTCAACAAACATGTACTACATGTATCATGAAGTTTTTCAATGGGAAAAATGACTAATATAATCATCATCGTTACTTTTTTGTTCATCACTGTTTTTCATAAATATCTTGTGAGTAGAGTATCAGAACCAAGTCAGTTTACACAATCTCTTTCTAAGGTATTTCAATGAAATTTAGTACACAGTCTCAAACGCTACAAAGTTTACCAATGCTTAAAGGTTGTCTTCAACCAGGTAAACACGTAATCTCTGACGAAACTATTATCAGCTAAACAATGCATGATAAACATGGAAATATCAATTTGACTAAACAATTTCATTTCTCATCAAACAGATACAATTCAAAACAGCAACATTATATTGTATGATCATTATAGGATAGTTTGAAGTACCAAATACAATTATGATGAGAATGACTATAGAAGTAATAAATTAAAACATTAAATGTGAACTAGTAACATTGTGTTTTGAGAGAAAAACCAATTGTTGAAATGTAACTTATATTCATGTTCTAACGAAGGCATCAACCCCTGTGAATACAAACATTTAAAGAAAATGGATAAACAAATTCTTCAATACAAAGATACAATATGAGGATTCATGGAACTGGAATCGAAAACTCTAATATGCATTACTGATCGAGGTAGGTATACCTGATAAATAGCAGTTCTGAGCTATACATTTGAATATTAAAGATTTATGTTTGCAGGAGTTCATTACAATACTGTAACAGAAAACTGACACCTGTACGACCATTCAGTTAATTGTTTCAGAACTCATGGAAAATGTTACCAGTTTGCTTTAAATCAATTCATTGATTTTATAATCAATCCATTTCATTGTAATTACTAGTACACACAATTACAATTATGAGTGGAGTTTGCTTCATTTATGATATTCAAAATGTTTAAAATCAAACAGTATAAAAGAGAGATTGAGGTATTGAAACATTGAAGCATTGCCAAAACTATCAATGTAATTGGTTCTAGTTTCTCAAGCATGCCCTTCAACACAAGTCCTTCAAGTTTCTTCACACATAATGTCATCCAAGCGATAGTGGTTGAAGCAGAGAAGATCCTTGATCTAGACTGCTTGAAAGTAAAAGGAAATAAGAGAAAGAAAAATCATAATAAAAAAAGTCCAAGTCAAAATCAATAAAAAATCATTATCAGAATTTCAATTATGAAAGGGAAACTTTACAGTGCATTATGATTGGGCAAAATTATTATGTGTAGTTTTGGTACCCAATTTTAGAGAGTCTCTTAATAACTTAAATACTTTATGTGGTATCACCTTAGTATTGGAATTTTTTTATAAGGATTTAAAACAAAATAATGCTGACCTCCATAGGACCACTCATTCCCTTAACTAAGAGACCTAAGCATTAAAAACAATTAAGAATATCTTAAATTTTAACTATTGGGAAAAAATCAAGAAGGAAAAAAGATACCTTTTGACTCGCTCACAAGCATAGACAATGGGTCATCATCAGAATCGCAATCGGAGCCGTCAGGAGACTTTAAGGGTCACCATGCCAAGTCACACATGCAGCTCTGACTGTGTTCGGTGAATTGCTTCAACGGTTCCATACCGCTCCCACTCTTAGGTCACTATGCCGAGTCACATCTGCAGCTCTGTGTTCAGTGAATTATCAAGGACCCATCTTACCAGCATGTCGGTCCCTGTATCCAATCTAATTTTGTAGAATGAAAGAAATAATTACAAGTTATTTTCTTTCATTTTTTTGCAAGCAGAGGTAAGGAAATGAATCCAATATTATCTTTTGTACATCAAATTAATTAATAGGCATAACTGACCCCAAACAGAAGTTTTCAATTGCCCCCATTACCCCAAAATAGAATTTTCCAATTGCCCCTACCAAACAACAACTACCCCTATGCACATAAGCAGTGAGTGTGCTTTAGTACTTTGCTGCTAAAGTGTGATTTTCTTGAACAGATCATGAAACTACTCTCACCTGGATTTGTGTCTGGCCTGTGGCATTCTTGAAAAGTAGATGTACTTTCCCAG